GGAGTTGCCAGAGTTTGTAAAACCAGGGTTTACTGTATAAGGGCCTAAATAACAGTTCCCTATACTATTTTGGGGGTTCGTGAATATAACTATCGTATAATATACCCCAAACCCTACTCAAATTATAAATACCCCTATATTAATTACAGGTCATAACCGCACGGATATCCGCTGCCTTTGCTAAGGTGTGGACAGTTGCGATCCTGTCCGGACCTATGGGGAGATTACCCAGCCTCTTGGCTGCGGGCATAGTCTTCGATTCGACACGTGTCCCTTGCTGAAATATTGCATTATATATATATATATATATACATATACATATATATACATATATATATATATATATATATATACATATATATATATATATATATATATATATATGTATATATATATATATATATACATACATACATACATATACAAATTAAATACAAGTACAAATACAAATACATATACATACACATACACATTTAAACATATACACATATACACATATATACATATATACATATATACATATATACATACATACGTATATACATATACATATACATATACATATACATACATATATATATATATATATATATATATATATATATATACATCGTAGCAGGGTGGGTTGAAAGTTTTCCAAGCAACCCTCACGTGTTCCCGATGAGGAGGCTAGTGTGACATGTTGCTTCGAGGCGTACCTCCGTAGTTATTATGCCTAGACCTCCCAACTACCCTGCTATTCACGGCCATAAGGACTCTATTAAACGGCACTTGGGGGGGTCCTGATCTGCTTGCCTCTTTTTGAACCATGCCGTCAATGCTCGCGAACAGTGTTCTTGTCACCCAGAAGGCAAGATACCTATATGAAGGGGACACTGAAATCGTACCCTGAATAGTAGAATCCTTATGAGAAGGACCCTGAAATGATGTATCCCACATTTTCGGAAACTCCCATGCGCACTTATGCCTTAAACGGGTTCCTGGACATGTGTACACACTGATATACTTATGCAGATACATGGAGCCTTACAAGTAGGCACTTGGAAATGCAGGCGTAAAGCGCAAGCCCGGTTCTACACCTCTTCCAGTTCCCAGCCTTGATTTTGTGGCATGACTTTGGGGCTTGAATACTTATGGATACTTGCACTAGTTCCTGGGATTCTTCAAATAAATGTAGGGTCTTAATATACCAGGCCACTAATCTCTGTAAGAACGCTTTTAACGAACACATATAGGAACAACGTCCAACAATTAGGCCCCCCCTACATCAGGCCCTAGTGGGAAAATTCTCTGCTCGGATATGTACAATGTCGAATCGCTGCTGCCATGGTGTTTCGTTGTCTTGACACTTTTTGGTGGTGTTGCAAGGGTAGACTCGCCCTTGGCACCAAATCCCATTGATGATTACTAAGGTTCGTGTATCGCACAGCCGGCCCTAAACCCAACAACCCGAAGCTCGTACCTTTGGTTAGTAGGGAATGGAAGAATGGTAGTAACAGTAGCTATAATTGCACCCCATTCCTCATTCCCTACCAACCAAAGGTAAATTATAGGATTATGAAGGCCCCTATATTACAGTACCGTTATAGATCCCTTATAGTAACCCTTATAGACCCCTTTAGCCCCTTTCATTCCCTACTAACCAAAGGTAAGAGCTGTAGCCTGAGGAGCGGGATGCGCTCCGTCGTACTACTTGCGGCTCGCCGAGGTGATCCGGGGAGTTTAGGGCGTAGGCTTTTGCATCTACACTTATGGCTTCAAGGTCAAGTTTGTTTATCTCTACATGTGTTTTTGTTTTTGTGTTTTTCATCCTTCGGGTTCAAATGATTTTTGGGCTTGTCGTTTCTTCGAGATTGCATGCTCTTTGGTGTATCGATCATTTTCGTGGGTCCGGAAAAAAGTCCATGGGGCAATAACCTACGATGCTGTAAGGTTTGGGTCCATGGCCGAATTTTTGGGGCTGGTGCAAAACAAGACTTAGTTTGATGTATAGGTCTTCTAGTTACAGAAAGGACTGTTGTGGCGTGTATACATAAGCAGTTTTTACAGGTTCAAGAGTTTTTACAGGTTCAAGAGTAGCAGTACCAGCCACAACAGTCCCGTTTGAAGTAAGCGACTTACTTTACTAGCTACACCAGACCGGTTCTAAAACAAAGCCCGTGCTCTAAAACTAGGTCTGTCTATTGTTCTGCACGATCAACAACAAAGTAAGAAGTTACAAGCCTTGCTGTTTTATGGAGTAATTTCAGAAACCAAAAAAACCAAAAAAAACAAAAAAACACAAAAAAATCAAAAAAACCAAAAACCAAAAAAAACAAAATAACCAACCCCATACCTCCGGAGCCGCCCGGTGATATGGGGTCGGTTCTTTTGGTTTTTTTGGTTTTTGGTTTTTTTGGTTTTTTTCGCTTCTGCACAGGTACGCGCCTCAGCCGAGCGCACTTGCCTCCTTGGCATCTGGTGTTCTAGAAGGGTTCGCAGTTCGTGGTTCTTGTCACGACGGCGACGCCACTGATTCCCGCCACGCGTCCTAGATGTATCACCCAGCAGAAGTTCGTCAATGTATGCACGCCGCGACACCAGCAAAACGTCTCTTGCACTTGCTCATGATGCTCATGTTGCTGCGTTGCTCCAAGTTTGTATTGTGAGATCTGTCATTGATGTCTTGTCCTAGCAGCAACCTTTCTTCATCAAGCGTATCATTCCCGCACTTTCCTGTCCTGCTTTCTGCATCATGGCACGTGCGGCAGAGGACTTGTCTTATGAGGACCTGCAGAAGACGGTAGACCCTATGGTCTGCAGGCCGGTGACGTCTCCAGCAATCCTGCACTTGCCTGCAGGCATCTTCACACCAATGACTCTTCCGCTTCAGGAGATGGGTCCTTCGGATAACCCCTCCATCCATGTGTTCGATGTGATCCCTAGCCACGCAGAAACCATCGACTTCCGTGACCTGGAAGCGAAGTACAAGTTAGCCGTACTCAACCTCGACCTGAGTCTTCTTCCCGCACCGTTTTGTCCACGACAGTCTGTCCCAAAGGATACCAAATTGCAGATCTTCATCGTTCCCACTTCGGATGAGAAACACTACATCATCAAGCATTTCGTCTTCGCCAGCAAGTGCAAAGCCTGCTTCTTCTTGGCCTCCGTATACGGCAAGGCTCACATCTACAGATGGCGGGCGGCAAATCCCAAGGTAGGCAAAAAGATCCTCCAATACACCCTTGAGAACTTGGGGTGCTATCAATTCAAAGTCTTTGACCTCCAAACCTTCTCTGCCGCGAAGAATACCAATACCCGCTTTGAGGACAAGACGGACGAGGAGGTGGATGCGGGGTTTGACTACATTGCCACGGAAGGCCCTCGTTCCTCTAGCGAAACGCAACAGTTGAGGTGGATGACGAAAGCAATCAAGAATACAAGCTCTCCAATCTTCAACTGGCCGAACAGTCTCGTTGAGAAAGCCCTTCGCAATCTCGCTACTGACGGAGCCTTGGCTAAAAAGATTGAGGAGTGGCCTATTCCATTCACGAGCACCTTCTACCATACTTGGGTTCTGGACATCTTCGAAAAGGTGTGGGATTTCGATACCTCTGCCCTGGTACTTCTCGGTGAAGCTGGAGCTGGGAAGTCGCCTTTGGGGCGCAGTGTCTTGATGGCTCAGGTGCGACACAATCAGATCCGCTTCAGCAGTCGCCAAAAACCTTGCATCAGATGTACCCCTGAAATCGATTTCCTTCGTGGTGAGCAGGGACATGTCGCCATGGGGGATTTCTTGGACGACACGACCATCAAGTGGCTCTCAAACAAGATGTTGAAGTCCTTGCTGGACGTGGGTCTATATGAGGCCATGTCATGGGCACGCTGGGGTGCTGTGAAATGGGTACAGAATCAGCCTCGAGCCGTCGCTGACAATACTTTCGATGAGGACTACAAGGTCAAAACAGAGAGCTTCTTGCCCAGTGTCCCCCACGAGGAGTTCTCCAATATCATCAAGCCTGCATTCGGTCCTGACATCACCAAAGCCCACATGAATGCAATCTTCAAGCGAAGCGTCTTCGTGGTAAACACAGACACGCACATCTACTACAGAAAGGCTGGCATCAATCAAGATCGCATTCCTCGTATCGAAATTCCAAATGCGGAGTATATGACGGATGCGGGCAAAGCCTTGTACGGTGTCTTCAAGGATGGTGGTCGTCTTCTACCTCCCGACTTCAACGCCCAGGTGCGTCGGGAGCAGGAATGGGTGTCGAAACTTGTTGAGAAACGCCAACAGGAGCGCCGTCCAGACCATCAGAAACGCTTGCAAGTTCGTGAGGCTCTGTTCGGCCGCGAACCTACCTCATCGGAGCCTCTCCACCGGCGCATCAAGAGGGAACAAGCGGGGGCTCACGCAGAAGCGGTGAGCAAGAAGGCTAGGACATGGGCCACGGAGCTGAAAGCTTCCAAGTCCGTCATCGACCTGGACACGCCGCCACGCCGTTCTTCTGAGCCGGCAAGGCTTGTGCATGTTCCCAACCCAGATTTCGCAAACGACTCCGAGGAGATGGACGTGGTGTCGGAGGAAGAGAATGATCCGCTGGGTTTGGGCATGCACATGGACTGAAGCGCACTTGCTAGGGCTAGATGCTCAGTTTTGCAACCCGCGTAGCTTTCCGATGTTCTTGGTGCTCCCTGCAGTTGCTCGTGGTGATCACCGTAACTATCCATGCTGTTACCATCCTCCGTAATGGTTTCGCATGCTACTTATCTGTCTTCGCAGAACTGCTTTGGAGCACGCACGCAGACCCCATCATGACTTCGCCGCACAAGAAAAAGGTCATGCATTGCACTGCTATATCTCTTGCTGTTGTTGAGATCTTTCGGTGCTGCGCAATGGACTCTTTGCTCATGATGCATGCTTTCGTCGAGTACACTCAGCACGTGCCTCATATCTGTGCTGTAGCGAGCTTCTCAAGTATACAGGTTTGCAGCTTTCGTCAACGACCTCGCTTCCCATGCCGCTCCTCCCAAGCAAACTACGAACGTACAAATACCCGGGTCGGAAATGTCCCGTCTGCTCTGGTAATCTGTACTTCTCCAAGGCAACGAACAGCTTCGCATCGGCGACTTGCCTTGACAGTGAAACGCTTACACTGGTGCGGTCGCAGGCCTCACGATGCAATAGCTGTGGTAGTGCACTTCGTCACAACTTCGTCTGGTTGGGTGGCCAGAAGATCAACTGTATGACCTTTCACCAGATGCAGAGAGCAGGTGTCTACTTCGTGACCCAGAAGACGTGCTTCACCATGAAGTACCTGCATCTGTGCTACCTCCGCCTACTCCGTGCCAAGACCTCCCCTGGACAAGAAGCCGCTGTTCGTCTCCTGGCAGATTCGCACCACCCGCTACAGTTTTGGCAAGAACATTCCTTGCGCGATAATCTCCTGCACGCCCTCGAGGGCTTCGCCGTGGCCAAGAATGAGCCGGATAAGGTCATAGAGTTTAACCTTGAGTACCCCGCGAAGTCCATCGTGAACATGTCCGGTGCGTCGTCCCACGTCCATGTCTTCGAGCCGCCCACGTCCGTTACCGCGGTCTGCTGCGACGGCAACTTCGGAGTTCATCGTGCTCTGCTTTCAGGAGTGGACCCTCCCAGGTCTGTGAGACTGAAAGGCAAGCCACGCAAGCTCATTGGTGATTTCACACGCACATGCTCCTGCAAACAGAAGGACGCTGTACGTCAGGTGCTACCCGATCGGACTGCTGGATGGCAATTTGTCTTGGACCCTTCCTCTCAACGTCTTCTTGGGGCTTGCGAACATCTCGTAAATGAACGGTCGTCCGACAAAGTTCGACTCCTGCAAGCCGTCCTCGATATGCCAAACATGAAGGTTGACCTCATTATCCATGATGATGCCTGCCACTTGGAGGAGTCCGTTTCCTGCTTTCGTTGCTTTACATTGCTTTTGCTTTGCTGGTTCTGCTAGTTGTTGTGTCTACTACAACTTCATGCGCAGGAGTTTATCAAGAAGCACAAGGCATCTGGCTTCCAGGATGTCAAATACTACATCATCGACAAGTTTCACCGGCCGAATCATACCTGCAGTAAAAGAAAACTCACTAGGGCCGAAGACCGCCGTGCCCGCGACACGCGTACCAACACCGCGGAAATCTTTAATGCGTGGATTCGCCCCCTGAACTTTTTTCTGAACAGCCTGCGACCCCACAGTCACAAATTTTGGGTACTGGAGGCATGCAAGTTCTTTAACCTCCATGGTCGGGCGCAGCACGGAGTGCTGACTCGACGAACGACTGCCAAATCACGCAGTGTTCACAAGAGGCCCAGCGCGAAGCGCCTGAAGCGATGACGACAATAGGCCGCGACCTTATTGCTCAGGGACAGCAAAAGAAACACTGTTGCTGCATGCCGTGCTTCTGATGAGCAGCGTGACTACATGCACAGTCTTACCTATGCTCGCTTCAGCCGCCTCTCAGACACACGTAGCCTTTCTGTAGGTTGTAGCTTTCTTCGTACTCGCGATGCCGTACTCGGTGGTGTCCGTTTCAGGCCACATGTCCCGCAAGGGCGGTGGCAAGTTCACCCTGGACTTGGGTGTGAGCGCTGCGGACTCAACCCCGGACCGCGAACCTCCGGCAGCTAAGACGTTGCACCAGCAGCTGCAGGATGGAAGCCTCCCGGCACATCCGTCCAAAGCGGCTATGACTGTTCGTAATCTACAGACCCAGATCGCTAACATCAAGCGCAGCGTGGGTTTGGGGTCGAATAGCTGGTCCGATGAAGCTGAGGAGGCCCTTAAGACTTGGCTACGTCGCCCTAAACTGTCTTCGGCTTCTTCCTCCATTTCCGGGGACCGCGACAGTGGGTCAAGTCTCAAACGTAAGATGCTCGTGATGGCCCAGACGATCGACGACCTCGAAGGCGTAGTGGCTCGCGCCCAGTGGGATGCAGAAAAGCACGAAGAGACCGTGACTGAGCTCAAGAAGCTCAAGGCTATTCTCAAAGAGAGCGGCCTTCAGCATCTGTATGAGGAAGCCTCATGAGCATCTGCCGCGTTGTTTTTTCATGTTATATGTACACATGCATCCGCATAGTTTTCCATGTCGCCGGTGGTGGCACAGAGATCCGCTGCATCAGAGGTAGCAAAGAAGAAGGAACCCATGCTTATCTTCTGCTTATCTTCCCACGCCACAACAGTCCCCTCTCTCTAGTTATTGAGGCTTCCGTTTCAGCAATCTAGGTCTCGGGACTGTCAAGGGTTTCAAGGTGCGATCTACATCAGGGTATAGAGGTTTAGGGATTTCGATTGTGTTGTTGCTTAAACCCGGTCTCTCAAGCCATTTTTTGGTACGGTTGACTTAAACCCCTCAAACATATGTAACGTGATGGCCCGACACCTTTTCAAAGGCTGTGATTCCACATACTTTGGGGTTTAGATAGGGTTTAAGGGTTTGCAGTAGGGTTGAAGGGCTGTGGCATCGATGATGCGATGGGAATTGCGATCCAAGAAGAGGGGTGAGTATCGTTCAGCGGGTCGAGAAGTTTGTGTAGTTGGCTTTAGGGATTTAGGGCTCGGGCGTCAGGCAGGGCTTCAACTGGAACTTCGGGGGGTTTTGGGTTTTGGGTTCAGGATTTGGCAGTTTAGGCTTCTTTAGGCATTTTAACATGAGGTTTCGTTTTGGGGCTTCAGATATTGCCGGGGCTGAGAGGGCAAGAGTTCTCCAAACTCGGTCCATCTCTTGCGCCTGTTGAGGTTCAGCATGGCACTCTCTTGAACAACAGGCAAAATCCTCTCTCAGGCTGTCTTTTCTGGGCCCGTGGGGTTTGCGACATTTGGGGTTTCAGGGTTTCGGGTTCAGAGTTTTTCATGGTATGATCATTCACTAGCTGGGGCTCTGGTGTCCTGCACGGCTCCTTTGGACCCAAGAAACGTTGCAAGAATCTAATGCTAAATCTCCGCATCGATTACGAAGCCGGATAATCGCTGGGACATAGCCCGGAAACCCAAAACTCGTATACCCTTAGCCACTATCCCCGAAACTCCAAACTCCTAAACCCCCGTCCTGAACCCCAAACTTCCAAGCCTTGAAACACCAGCCAGGGATATCCAAAAGCCTCAGCCCCCCGCCCAAAGGTGGAGTGTTCCTGGACATTGGTAAGGGCCCCAGGGAGGTGTGGACTAGGGAGCTCCCTCCGGGGTTTCTTGTTTTCGGCTGAGGGCTGAAGGGGTTTCTCGTTTGAGTGCTTTTGGGTCTAGGGCTTAAAGTTTAGAGTTTTGGTCATGGGTTTTAGGTTGCGACCTTTTGGGGTTCTTTAAGAAAGGTGCACCACGGGCACAAGCGACTTGGGCTGCAACTTCTCTCGCACCTCAACCCTAAACATCCACAAATCCGAAACTCTAAACCCTGAACCTAAACCTACATGGATAGCCCTTTGTTAGTTTCAGCAATAGGGGGCCTTCTGAAACTTTGGACTGCTAGGTTTACGCTCTACAAGAAGGATAGGATCATTCTTTAAGGGTTCCACATGGTTGCTGCTTTGTGCCGAGTGCCTTGCTTCGAAAGCGGCGAGCCTTTAATCTCTAAGCAACATTTGCCAACCCGGCAGCCCCCTAGCCGGAGAGGCTTTCGGCTTGTGTTCTCCGAGGTTCCGGAAACGGTGCTTTCGTGCTCTGGGCCGCGGCGAAGCGCCCTGAGGACTCAGCCTGCCTGCTCCGCATCAGGATCCGCTTGAGGTACAGGTTGTATCTGAAAAAATGTTGAAGCTATCTCGTCCTTTGTATGCACCGCCCAGCTACAAAACGACGGTGCTTGCAGGAGTTCACATTACTTATGTATGCAGTAAAACAGACATACATGTACAGATAAAGAGAGACAGAGAGAGACCGAACGACAGAGAGAGAGAGAGAGAGAGAAAAACAAAAAGACGCAGGAAAAGAGACATAGAGAGAGAGACAGGGAGAGGCAGAAACAGACAAAGATAGAGACCCCCTCAGCGTCTGTCAAAACGTGTGCTTGCGTTTATCTGTAGTACTGAGTATTGCTGTTCTAGCCATCCTGTTAGTTAGCCACTTCGCATTAGTTGGGTTGGGCTTGCACCCCTGAACCCAAACACACCATCAGGATGCAGGGTTTACGGCTCATGCAAGATGTTCTTTCAGAAGGGGCCCCTAGAAGCTATTTCAAACGCAGGCAACTCCGAATCCGTGGTAGTGGAACAGGTCTTGCTCTATATACGCTGTGGGTTCTTTGAGGATTAAACCGTAGACCCTGTCCCGGCACCTTGATCTTCCGAATTGATGATACTGCCTCTTGACAGAATGACTGCTCCCATTTTGAGCGTATTTCGGATACTTGGCTTTTGGATGTTAAGTTTCAGATTTTGAATTTCGGACCCGATGTTTGAGGCTCTGCACCCCCGAACCCCACAAATCGACCCTGGGGTTTTGAGAATCGTTTTGCATTTGCTCAAGAGTTGTATGCTATGCGAGCTCACTGCTTCCGTACAGTGTAGTGCGTTGTCGTTATTCGTGCTCTCTCGCACAGGCACAAGTGTAACAGTGTAATATAATTATAGGGGCCATAATGATTAGAATAGGGTTTTGCGGTGTATTATACCATAAGAAAAAAAGGAACCCGCAAAACAGTATAGGTAATTATTAAGGCCACTCTAGTGCAGGTACATACCTTCGACCTGTCCACCGAACCAGGGTTTCGGGTTTAGGGTTTTGAGCCCGCAAACCCTGCACCAGGGGGGCGGATACAACTATAGCCGCGGAGTAGAGGCTGGAACCGGGAAGAGACGTCGGCTGCGGGGAGCTTCGGTATAGGAGTATATACTCTGTACCTACAGGCTTCCATATAAAAAGAGCAGGATTCGAAGTGTTCCTCCTGATCTTTGTGACCGTTGTCGCCTCTGAAGCATTTCCGGCCCGCAACAAGCAGCTGTCCGATGTGTCTGAAACATGAAACCGGCAGCACTGCATCTCCCCTTCCATACGCTCTACACGAATCCCTAAACCCTAAACCCTGAACACCAAACACCAAGCCGCCAAAGCTCCCGGGTTTCGGGCTTAGGGGATTTAGGGGTGAACTTGGGGAGGTCATGTTGGAGCGCCATCAGCAAGCCCTCGCCAAAGCGCGGCACTTGGAAATCTGATGGCTGGAGCACAAACCAAAAGTCCCAATATGGAAGCCTGAAGAATTTCTACTACAATTTCTTATAGGCTTCCTTATATTTAGTTGTGTTTATATATATATATATATATGTATATATATATGCTCATCATCATGTTGCCCCTAAGCCTTGGGAGGCCTGACCCTCCAAAAGAGTGCAATGCAACATGGCGGATAAACTTGCGTCAGCCGAAGTGCAATGTTTCGACTTGTGGTTTTTTCGGCGAGCCGTGAAGCGTCAACCCTTGGGATGGTCTTTCTGAAGCACAGTAGGCATACTGATCAATGGTGTCGCATAGCCAGCCTATATAAAGCACACTCTGCACAAACACTACACTAGCAACTCTCTTCTGACTTCGCAAGCAGAGCCATCAAGCTTTTATAGTCAGAGCTTGCAGCCCAGGTGTCGGAGGCTGCCCCGCGCCGAGGACATGTTGCCGGGGCCTTTTGGGCTCGGGTCTTTCATGGTTTGGGGGTTTAGGGTCTCCGGGTAGGGTTGCGAGTTCAGGGTTTCCTGCTTTCGGTTTAGTGACTTTAGCGTGAGAGTTAGGTCGGCAATTTAAGTCAACCTAGGCAAGAGAGAGAAAATGGGCTTCTTGATGGCTGAGTAGGCCTTGTGGATTGAAAAGACCAAATCGGCGCTCCCGTAACCACTGGTTCACCTGTTGGGTGCCCAAATTGGCAGTGTCCGAAAATAGGGGACCGTAATATGGTACCCTAAATAGTAGGAACCTTTTGCTTCTGTATCAGGACCCCAAAATTTAGGTACCCCTAAGTCTCGGAAACTCTCAATTCAGCATCAAGGGCGTTCATGATGTCGATGTGTAGGGATAGGGGATATGCCGTAGATTGCAAATCGGCATAGCCAAGCCAGTCGCCAGACTGGGAACATGAACCCAAATTCACAATTTTCGTTGGTCATCACGATCAGGCCATGGTCGCAGATATTATGATCGCCATCCGCAATACCGCCACCGCCACCACCACCACCACCACCCCCACCCCAGCAGCAGAGCAGCATCAGCTTCTGCAACTGCTTCAGCTGTTTGCATCTTCGTCAGCATCATCATCGTCATTGTCACAGCGACAGTTGATCTTACAACCATCTGGATCGTCGCCAGAAGCTGAAGCGCTACCACTGGACCACCCAAGACAACACGATCAGAAGAGGATGAGGGCAACATCAGAATAAGGACCTGATTCACGGCGACATTCTCCGCCACCTGACGCTTCTTTCGGATGCCCATTTGGCCTGGCACCAAGCATCCCCAAGTTGTCCGCATAGAGGCCTCGAGCGCACCCGCATGCCTTGTTAGAGTCAGGGAAGGCCTTGCCCATTTTGGGTAATTGCACCACCGTGGCCCAGATCATAGCCATAATTTCCTAAAACACTTTACCATATAGAAAATAAGGGTACAGTGTTTTAGGATATTATGGCTATGATCTGGGCCACGGTGGTGCAATTACCCAAAATGTGCAAGGCTTTCCCTGACTGTTAGAAGTCCAATTCTTGACTTCCTGAGTACTTCCGTTAAACAAGCGGGGGCTTAGGGTTTAGGGGTATTCGAAGGGTGGCGACGGGCATGGTTCACTAAAGTTCTCCCAATGGGTGCCCAAGAACTCAATGTGGAGAGGATTGATGCGAGGTTTTGGGTACTGCTGTACACTTTGGTATGCCTCCTGTCACCTGGTGTTCGCGAGATGCGAAATTCCGAAAAGGGGGAACCCTAGAAAGAGCAAAGTACGGATCGACATGTATATACATTATTCACATACGCATACACATCTACATCTACATGTAGGTATAGGTGTGTATACATATATATATATATAGTTACATGTACTATGAACTATGTATTATGTACTATGTACTATGTATATGTTACATGTCAGATATGTATACCCACACTCTTGGAGTTCGACATGTGCGAGGTGTATTGGAACAACCTGTGCTTTTCCTCCGCAGAGTCGCGTCTCGTAGTGGAGGCTTGGGGATTCCTGAATGCTTGGGGGGGCTTTAGGGTTTAGGGTTGAGGCTTTAGGGTTTAGGGTTTAGGGTTTAGGGAGTTAATAGCGCATAGGGGACTATATAGAGGTTTAGGAATGCAGGGTTTGGGGTTTAGAGTTGTGGACGTAGCGTAGCTAAAGCGGGAAGATCCTATGTTCATACGTTTCGTGTTCACAAGTCGTCAGAATACCTCCCAGTATGGAACCCTAAATCCTATAAACCCTAAATCGTAGTCAAGTAGGACCAGTTGGGAGTCGAGACGAGCCCTGCAATAGAGCAGAAGTCCAAATTCTTTAGCCCCAAGTTCCCTAAATCCGAGTTCCTAGGTCCGTTTTCGTGCAGTCAATCAATATTATGTATATATATATATATATATATATATGTATATATATATATATATATATATATATACGGTTCCCCCCTGGACCTACCTCCAAACCTGTCTGTCTACATATATGATACTACACTTCATTACCCATGCACACACATGCACACATACGCACACACATGCAACATGGACTAGGGTATACGAAGATTAGTGTATACGAACATGCCGGGCTGCATTAAAATCTGCATTAAAAACTTAAATTTTAATGCAGCCTGGCTCGTGGAACCAACCACCCAGAACCAAGATGCCCAGGAGTCTTGAATCTTGGATCTTGGTTCCGCGGGCACTGGCCGGGCTGCATTAAAATCTAATTTTCAATGCTGGTTTTAATGCAGCCAGGCCGCTGGAAACCATGTAAATATTTACGAAACATAGCGGTTTGCCATTTTATGTGCCACATGGCCACTCCTGCAGTGAAGATTAGCGAATGGATTGCAGTGCTTGACAGTTTGATCGCATGACAAAAAAATGTGTGATGACCCAAGCTGCAGCTAATCAAAACCAAGTGATCTTGTACTTCCAGCTCCAGTCCTGTCCTTGTGAGCATAAATAAAATATTCACTGTGCAGATAGGTTTAAATATGGAACATCAGTCGGAGCCGAAGATTTGCGAATGTCCAGCTGAATTATAGCTTATTGAGTAACGGGTTCCCATGGTGGACATCAGGAACCTTTTGTAAGCAAATATCCGTCAAAGTCCACTATAGAATACCCCCTTATCCCTTCCAGGATTTCATAGAAAATACTCACGTCGTACCATATAGAGCTTTTGAAGTATATATATACTTTGTATAATATACCTTATGGAATACCCTGTATCTCATGAAACTCCTTATAGAAATCTGTCCTATATATACACCCTATAGACTACTTTTTTTACGTTACAGTTTGGGATACCCTATAGATACCCTATAGACTGCTCCATAGAATACCTTGTTTATCTCCTATATGCCCTATATGAGCCTTTTGGGATACCATCTGGAATACTTTACAGAATGTTTTATAAACGCCCTATGCATGATACTCCCCTTGTACCTTATACATGCCCTTGAGAACCCCCTTTGGGATACCCGACAAAACCGTATAGATCAGGATGTACGTAAAGTAAATCAGAAGGAGCCCAAGCTTCTTGCAGCTTATTGAGCAACGGACATTTATGCCTGTAGAATACCTTACAGAATACCCTATTACAAACCGTAAAGAAATTCATGTAGAATACGGCAATACCTTATACAATGTTCCTATATTCCCTATACACCTTGTACACCCAAGATCTGAGAGTTCCCCAGTTGAATGTGGTTTATTTAGAAATGGATTCATATCAAGGAATGGCGGAATATAGGATCTAGAAATTCCTTGAAAATCGATGCCTATCTAGCAAAGGATACATACAGAGAACAGAGCTCTTGTGAAACACATGCTGCACACACCCTTAGAATGCCTTGTAAACTACCTTTTCCACCGATTTACTCTACATACACCTTATATAATAACATTTGTAATACCCCGTTGAACACTTTGAAGAAGAACGCCTCTATTTGTTACATCCTGTGTACCTTATGTATGCCATATAGAAAACTTGTACAGTAGCATTTAGATTACCTTTCAGAATCCATTATAGAAACCCCCAACGGTACCTTATAGATACGGGTTGTAAATATGGAAAGCCCGCCGCAGCCCAAGATCTGAGAATTTCTAGTTGAATTGCAGCTTTTGGGTAAGGGATTCCTATGAAGAAATCAGGAACCAGGATAACTATCCTGACAACTACCTTATAAAATACACCCTGTATGCACCTTTATGAATTTCATCACACATACACTATAGAATACCTTGATACATATAGGCCGCAGAATGCCGTTTGTACAATACCTTATGGAGTACCCTCTAGAATACCTTACAGAATGCCCTATAGAATACCATCCTTACAGAAGACCGCCTCTGGAATATATCTTTTGTATACCCCAAATATACCTCATAGAATATCCTCCAGAATACCTTTCAAGATACCGTTTACAATAGCTGTTAATATACCCTATAGATCAAAGAAGGAACATCAGGAGGAGCGCGCCGTTAAACAGCGTAGCATACACAGGACAATATACAATACTTCATGGTATTGTTTTGGTTCGAACGGTGTGGTGTCGTCGTAGACAGCGAAGACAATTTAGTTCGGAGCGGAGCCGTAACGTCGTCTAGACAGTACAAGGTAGGTCGTCGGGGGGTAGCATATATATATATACACACACACACATCATACATCCAAGCGTTAGGGCAACAGGCTTTAGGGGGGTGGAGGCGAAGGGCGTTCAAGTAGCGTTCAGGGGATTGGGCTTCAGGGCTTTGGAGTTGAGGCATTTCAAGGTTTGGGGTTTCGGGGCTTCGGGGGTTTTAAGGTTGTCTTGTCTGATGTCGATGGGTGGCTGTTTGAATTCATGCACGCCTTTCACTGAGGCCCAAAGTAGATAGCCAGAAGGAATATCAGCAAGTTAGGGCTTTGTGGTCCTATACCGTGCTGGTTGATCGAAGGATATGTGCACCGGTCTACTGTCAACCATCAGCCGGTATGGAAGCCCCGAAACTCCATCTCGAGCTGCTTCCGCCGTGAACATCACTCCGCCGTCATTCTGTCCATGCCATGACGGTCGCCACCAAGTCCCAAAACCCACAACCCATAGTTTATGGTTTACAGGGTTTAGGTTTAGGGTGCAGGTTTTCGGGTTTTGGGCTTAACCAGAGGCCCTATAGTAGTTCTTTTGTGGGATTACCCTATAGGGTTCTATAAATGAACCCTCAAAAGGAACTACTTTGGGGCCTTTGGGTAACCCCATCAACCCGAAACCCGAAAGCACTGAAGTCCTAAACTTACCTTTGCATAGTAGGGAATGGAAGAATGGTAGTCATAGTTATAATTGTACCCCATTCCCCCATTCTCTACTAACCAAAGGTAAGCAAACCCGGCAGCCTCAACTTCCAACTCGAAGCTGCGAGCCGCACACAATGAGGGTCTCAAGTAGGGATGCCTTCACAGCATCACCGTCCAAATATGGGAGTTCCCAAAAATAGGGACCTTAATATAATAGAAGGATCCTTATTATAAGGATCCCAAAGTAAAGTGCCTCAAATTTTCGGAAGCTCCCATATACAAGCCAGGTTAACTACCAATACTCGTCCTTCAGGATTGCTGTTGTAGCTATATGATATGGTCCCGAAACCACCTATTCCATTGAGGCCCGCACAGTAAACCCGAACTCGCCCGAGACACTCTAGTCTCGTGGCCTTGCCACCTAGAGGTAACTGCAACTAGATTGCCTGCCTTTCCACCTCGGCCCCGAAATGCGTTTTAGGGTTTCAGGTTTGGCAGGGTCTAGGGTTCAGGGATAAGTAGGGTCGCAACGATAAGGCTGCTGTCGTATCCAACAACGGATAGAGCTTGAGGTCTGCTTAAGTCTGCTCCAGGCAACCACCGTAATTGAAATAGATTTTGCTTCGCTGAAGCTTAAATCCCAATTCTTATCCTGATCCACGAGGCCCGCCCATGAACTGCGGAACGCCTAGCGTCGAGCCTGAAACTTTCGGATCCTGCATTTCGCCCCGCCTGAAAGGGGATTTCTTCGGTTTTTCGACTTCTATGACTCCTCGGTGGATGGAATGGGTTTAGGGGTTGAGGGTTTAGGATTGCAGCGGGGGTGTAAGGGTTTCTAAAGGGCTCTTTCATGGGATCTTTATAGTTCTATGAGGACTCAGGCCTTTTGGGCTAAGGGTTTGGGGTTTACGCTGTTTAGGGTTTAGGGCCCATAAAGTGAGGTGTGGGGAATCTCAGCACCACCAGCCACCATTAATTACTGCATGTTCCAACTTTTCAGTAGACCCTGAGCCCTAAACAAAGGCCACTGCAACTCCCATGCGGGTCAACCAACTGGAGACCCTAAACCCCATAAACCTTAAATCCTGTGCTCGGAGGCGTTCACACAGCGAGCACCCCGAGGCCTTCTTGGAATTTCGCTTTTGGAGCATACACGTGCGGCTGAAGACGAGATTAGAACTTAGGTTGAAGGTTCGGTGGTTTGGGGTTTAGGGTTCATCGGTATTAGGGGCATTTTCTCTCGAGTTCTATACGTTTCGTTGTAGATTCAGACCCACTCCTCAGCCGGAGTTCGACTTCCTGCCGCGCTGGAGACCTTCACATAATGTAGGAACCTGATTGAGAATCCTTGGGCCTTTATTAGGGTTCCTTACATGGATCCTACGATTTCGGGGGTTGCAGGACCAGGGTTTCTTAATCAGGTTCTTACCTTAGGCCCAATGTAGTGAGTCTTCACGGCGTCATGGTTGGCTTGGCTGTTGCGGCTCCTAGGTTTGACGTTTGTGTTTGGGGTTTGGCATGTCAGCTTGTCGGTGGCTCCCTTGAGCTTGAAGACCATGGATCCAGTTAAACGAGGCAGCCAGTTTCTTCTCTGAGACACTGACCAACTCTAAACCCGAGTTCTGATCCAGCTTGTCCCCAAACCTCTAGACTTCACCTTGAAAACTCGAATCACACTCCTAAGCCCCTGTGACCCAAAGGCATAGCCTAAAACCGTATCCTAAGGCTCACAATCATCATCCGACGTGCTAGTGACAGTTGCAATCAGAATATATTCATTAATGTTGCAAGTAGGAGTAGTAAGAAAGTATCCAAGTTGTGGTAATGGAGTTGTAATGGGTTCTAAGAGCTAAGCAGCAAGACCGAGTTTCGAGTTGCGAATCCGAGGGGCAACTCTGGTGACGCTGGCAGAGTTGGAAATCCAGGCTGCTGCAGTTTAGGGCTTATTGTGTTTAGGGTTAGGGGTGTCGGACTCTCGGGTAAAGGGTGTGGGGTGTAGCACTACCGGAGTTTATCGTTTGGGTTGCTGGGTTTGGGGCTTCGCCGGTTTAGAGTTCAGTTCGGTGCGTGGTGCATGGAAAATTTACGCTTTCGGGCTTACGATTGACGGTTCAAGGCTTGTATGAAGGGACGTTGCCCTGCCTGCCTTCAAAGCCTGACAGACTGAAACGGAGGATGTAAACCCATGGTTGACCTGTGCCCCTGTTCTGTCCAAGGGTAAAGGGAGGGACGCTTAATAAGGACCCCTAGGTATATACCCTTAGTACAGCCATTATATACCCATTTTATAGCCCATTATAGGGTAGTCCCCATTAAGGGTCCCTCCTTTTCCCCTCTGATTCTAGGGCCTTATCCGCCTTTCTTGGAATCCTTGAGGGAGCTTAGAGCCAGTCCTGGCACTTAAACCCTAATGTAGGAACCTGATTAAGAAAGCCTGGGCGTAGAACACCAATATAGTAGGATTCATAGAGGGAACCTTAACAAAGGCCCAAGGTTGTTTATTCAGGTTCCCTCATTAAACCCGAAAATTCAGTGAGCCAACAGACGGAGGCTGGCGCGCTGCCAAGCCTTTCTGTGAGGCTTCCGGGAAGGGTTTGCTTGGAGGTTCATGGGTAGTTATAAGTGGGGTTATAAGTCCCTAGTATGACAGTTATAAGTACAGTTAATTAATCCCTTCCCCCTAATATTAAAAAGCCCCCCCCTCCCCTAATATGCCCTAAGCCCTAAAACTTGAGCCCTAAACCCTAAAGCCCTATAAAGCCCAAGCCCTCGTCCTTTCGGTTTAGTACTACTGTAGTCTTGGCTCGATAAACACTAATGCAATCCTAGGCCTCCCTAATGCTTTTTCTTAACTTTCAATTGTGGGCCCGAAACCCCGAACTCCCTAAACCCTAAACCCTAAACCCGAAACCCCGAACTTCCGGGGGCCTTCAGTTTTTGTATTAGGGGGGCTTTAATATTCGGGGGAAGGGCTTTCCCTACTTCTAACGCCACTTAGAACTACCCATGAACCTCCAAGTCGGGTCTGGTCTTTCGGGTTTTGGTGCCTTTATACGAAGCGCTGAACCAAACGCTCTTGAGCCCTGAACTGCTGTGCTTTCAGCCACCCTTCATTGAATACCCTAAACCCTAGTAAACTCGAAACTCTCGGATTTTGTGTCCGATTGAATGCTTTTGGGCCGGGGGTTTTGGTGACAGGCTGACTTATTGGACGGCCTAATAAAGGGGCCTAAATAATTACCAATACTATTTTGCAGAGTTCCTTATTATGATTATAGTATAATGGGCCCCAAAACCCTAATTATTCTTATTAGTAAGGCCTCTATATTACTGCAACTCAAAAACCTGTAGCAGGATTCTAGAGCTCAGGGGTGCCGTGGCCAAACTCCTGGGCGCGGACATGAAGCGAAGCTCAGGACCCCATAAACCTCGATTCGAAGACCCAAAACCCTCTCAAAGCCCCAAGTGGGCGGTGGTCAAAATCATGGTCCCATTTTGGGTACCTTAAATATTAGGTGCCGTATCATAATAAGGACCCAAACAGGGACCATAATTTTTGACAACCATCCAAATGCCAGACCCAAGAAGATCCCCTACCACTCCCAGACCCCCAAGAACCCGAAGGCACCAACCTCAACTGGAATAGGGATTCCAAGCTCAGGCTCGAAGCTTCTCTGTTTTCCCCGCCACCAGCACTTTAGGGCTTTAGGGTTTAGGGTTTAGGGGGGTTAGGGTTCATGGGGGTCAGGCTGAAACCGGGTTAGAGTTTATTCGCAACCACGGCATGGTTTGCAAGCGCAGAAGTGCAAGCGACCAAGACTGAAATTAACGCAAGGTGAGCAAAAGCAACGCAGCAGCAGCGGCAGGAGCAGCAGCAGCAGCAGCAACAGCACCACCCCCACTAGCATCACAAATTACAACGACTGCCGCTACTGCTGGTGCTACTGCTACCTATACCTCTACCGCTACCTCTATCGCTACCGTTACTGCTACCGCTACTCTACTACGACGAGTAGTACGACTCCGACGGTTTCTGTTGCTGCCCAACAGAAGTTTACTCGACTGGTAGCAACACGCACGACAATCACCATGCACACCGAAAGCAGTGAAAGCTGAGAGTCGTCTCCTGTTTGTGAAAGCCTTAAAGTATAGCAAGGCGTGGGGATGATCCACTACAGATGGAGTGGCGCGAGGTGTCTTGCTGGCACCTCACTTGGTACATGACTATTTTCGTAAGCTAGGCGCTTAAAGCCACACACGGCATGCCAAGCAAGCATCTTTTCCGTTTGGTGCTTGAGGAGGTGTTCAGTCGGAGTTTGGGCGAGCACTACCGGACTTTTCTCTAAGTTTTAGAGATGTATATCAGGCTCCTGGGCTTTGCATGCAAGCTGCTGGCACGCCAGGGATTTGACCTTTCATGCCCTTCTTTCTGCATTTCTTGTGGCAAGATCGTCGCCTTCGTCGCGAAGATACCCTGATCTCTATCGCCTCAAGTGCCTAAAGCCCCAGGCCCCCCCGCACAGAGATGCCGTGTCGTTGCATCATAAGTTGGACTTTTGAGTACATGACCCTTATCAGAAGTAAGGCACGGACAAGATAAGACGTGCATCATGAAAAGATCACTAGGCCTCCCAGTCGGCCCTTGTTCCCTTCTTGTGGTCTGAGGTTCCTTGTAAAGTTGCCCAATACCAAAAAGGGAGCCCTTGTTCTTCCTAGGTTGCCGGGCACCCTTGGAATGAAGCAAACGTGTAATTCTGTGCACTGGTGGAACCAATTCGGATGCCCGAGCGAGAATTCCCCCTAATATACGGGCCCAAATAATTACCAACACTATGTTCATATAATATATATATATATACACACATACTTATTCATTTGCTTTTTTGTTTCTAGGAGGGGTGGGTGGGTGGGTGGGTGGGTGGGTGGGTGGGTGGTGGGGGGGGTATTAGAACTAATATAGTATACTGGGCACCAAAACTACAGTCTAATCACCCAGGCCCCTATATTATCTACATCTATGAATCTATGACCCATCTATGCATGTGTCCATCCATCGCCGGTGTAAGTGTTTAATTGGACTCTAAACCCACAGAAAACATCTAGATGCTGGGCTAGGCTAGGGTTGCCAGGCTAAACCCAAACTAGGCTAGGGTTTCATCTATTGGATTTGTGGTTTGGGGGTTCAAGAAATGAAACACCCAAGCCGTAAGACATGAAGCGCTAAGCACTGGCAGCTCCTTTGGCCTACAGGGCCGCCTTATATAAACATATATATATATATATATTTTTTTTTTTGTTGGAGGGGGGGCTCCTTATGATGATTATAGTACAATGGGCACAAAAAGCCGATTCTAGTTATGAAGGCGCCTATATCAAGCTCTGAAAGCATGCCCTGCTAACGCAAACAGGGAACGGCCAGTTTGTTTGGCATTTGGGTACCTCTCTAGGTTCCAAAAATAGTACAGCACCCCCATAAAAAGGGCTATGGTAGTGGTGTTAATGACGGTAATAATTTCCTGAGCGTTGCATCTCACCGTGGCAAAGAAGGTTGCCGGGTTATTGCCCTGCTGTAAGATCTACTCATGGTGACATCGGGTCTACGTAATCAGGCGCCCATTGAGTAGGTGACTTGGCAGCCCGGTTTCTAGGGTCACACCCGAGGAAGGCTATGTGCCCTTCGTGTACACCCGCCAGTGACGCGACAATTCAACGCCTCAGTGCGATGCATGGCATGGGGCGAAAAGAAGTGTGTGAGGTTCCGAGACATCTTTTCTGAATTTTCCTGCGGCATAACTATACTATACATGCACGCATACATACATATACATATGTATATACACACACACACACACACATGTTGGACTATAGCAACTGCATGCAAGTTGTCTTCCTCCCCGTCGCGCCATTTACACTTCGCAAGCCGACAATCGTCGTGGCAACGTACCCACAGCCCCGTTTCGAACGCCGACGCCCAACCGGACACGCCGCGTCCACGCAGAGGGTTGCAAATTCGAGAAGGCCCTAACTACGCGGTCGTTTGGTTGTTGTTGTTTTGATGTTGTGGGTTTGAGGACTTTCCTACACCTCCTGCATATGGTTCAGGGTGTGGTACAACATCAACTAGCCAGTGTACAGGAGCTTCAATGCTTGACGAGTTTTCATTAGATCTCCCCAAAGCAATGTGTCCGCAATGCTCGCAGCCGAGGGATCCAAGCCAGGCTCCCACCAATCCTTCCCATACCTTGCCGTACCTTCCAAGCAATGGCGGCATATTGTTCTATGCCGGCAGCTTCGGCGACCGCGGCAGGTAACTTTCGCGCCCGGGTTTGTGAGCACATGATTTTGGATGCTTCATCAATCTTTGACTTGTAGAAGTTGGCGCAGTGATCCTACACCGGAAACCCGACACCCTACATAGCTCGAAACCCCACACCCTAAATCGCCTTGATCCTACGCCATGCATGGTGCCGAGGTCAATCCTTGGGATGGATGCCACCGCTGGCAGCCCCGGCATTTCCGGAGCCCAACCCCAGCCAAGATTTGGTCCCTTGGCCTCGCAATATGTCGGAGGCCGTGCAGATTCCCGGCCAGCACACAGCCACATTCCCGGTCTCTCGGCCTCGCTATATTCCTCCACCGCCAGGCCTAGAGATTCCAGAAGTGCCGGAGACCGAGCACACCCGCGGCCAACACACAGTCACATTCCCAGTCTCTCGGCCTCACAATACTCCTCCACCGCCAGGCCTAAAGATTCCAGAAGTGCCTGAGCCCAGTGCTGCCAACTTACGATTTGGCAGAGGCAGTTTTGGGCACCCACACTTTTGCAGCAGACCATGCGTCCACATCTCCAAGAATGGAGCGTGCCCATCGGGAACGGCATGTGCTTACTGCCATTTCCCGCACCGTGCAGTTTGCAAGCCAGACGGGCAGCTACGCCAGCGTCTTTTGAATGCAAGCGACCAGGAGCTTCTCGCGACCTTCCTGCCCTTCATCTTCAAGAAGGCAGCTAGGTAGGCCTTTGGGATACTTTCTATTTCCCCTTATTGGGCTTATAAGAGGATCTAGCATACGATCTTCAAGAAGGCAACGATGGAAGGCCTCGTTCCCCGGGTCGGCTGCTTGCTCCAGCTGCTCAAGGCGGAAGTCGACGAAGCGGAATCCAAGGCCGTTCTTCTTGGGAAGTTTCGGCCGATGCGGATGTCATTCATGCATCTAAGCTGAAACTTGCGGGTTTAGGAATGCTTCAAGGCTTCAGTACAAAACCCTAAACCCTTATTTCGAAGTTCTTTCAGAGCACATCTCGAAGTCCTGGGGAGGCTGGAAATAGGCCCCGATCAGATCGGCACGAAAGCCGAGGCATCTCGTCGAGAGCTGCATGCACCGGCTACCTCCTCATATCCGGGCCGAAGTAGATCGTATGAAGTCGGAGCTCCCTCCTCCCGCTCTCACGCTGCCTGGCTGCAGTATTCAGGTCTCTGACCGCCTGATGATTTCTTTCTATCGACTTCCGAGCAGTCTCACGAGGAGGATCTCTCTCTCTCTCTCTCTGACTCTCACTCTCTCTCTCACTCTCACTCTCACTCTCACTCTCACTCACTCTCGCTCTCACTTTCTCTCGCTCTCGCTCTCGCTCTCGCTCTCGCTCACTCTCTCTCTCTCTCTCTCTCTCTCTCTCTCTCTCTCTCTCTCTCTCTCTCTCTCTCTCTCTCTCTCTCTCTCTCTCTCTCTCTCTCCCTCCCTCTCTTGCGACATGTACTTGCCTCTGTCTCTTCTCGGTTTCCATCATACATATCTTCACATGTACACACACACATATGATGCATAGTATTCGCTTTCGGTGTTATGCCCTGATGTGGGAGTTTCCGGAAATAAGGGACCCGAATTTAGTACCCTAAATATTAGGATCCTTATTATAAGGACCCCTAAATAAGGTACCCCTCATTTTGGGAAACTCCCATGTTTTCTTTCTTGCCATTGTCACGGCTGCATGCGATCGGCTAGTCTTGTATCCATTGTCATATGCGCGCGCTGCAAAGGCATGGCGCAGCGGGACCATCTCTCATGCTATAGACGAACTGAGCTGATGCTGTCTCGGGCGGTGATGAGCGGAGGTAGATCAGCATTCTTTCGGTGCTTCTGGCTTTTTTGCTTTCGGATCGACTAAGAATTGCTTTGCCGTTTAAAGGTTCTTGGGTCAGGGTGAAACCTGGGCAGTCCGTAAAGCCATGCAAGCACCATAATTAATTGAAAAGTTTAGTTTGAATATGGGGTTTTGGTTTAAGGGTTTCGACTGTTAGATCTATGCATACTTCTCGGAGCGAATTGAAAGATCTCCGAACATAGTTGCGCTGGTGTTGGTTTGGTTGAAGGATCCGCGATGCGGGAACCCCCGCATGAGGCAAACATCGTTTGAAGAATCTCCCCTTTGGGAGTTCCCGAAAATAGGGGACCCTAGTATGCTACCGTAAATAGTAGGATCTGTATTATACGAGCTCCGAAATGATGTACCTAAATTTTCAGAAGCTCCCATATGGTTTTGCATCACGATACCCAGCATGGGGATCAGTGTATCGGATTTAGGGTTAGTGAGGGAAGAAGATGCTCCAAGAAGGGTACTGATAATTACAGCGGTGATACGTATCTCAAGCAACCTAGACAGGTTGACCCTTTAATCCCTGAATGCTAAACTCGGGAAGCCGCTTTCCCAGCTGAGTGTAAAAGTGACCAGTGACGTCTACAAAAACCTACGCAGCTGATTGATCTTTCATCGGTCCGACAGCAGCCAGAAGTGTCGGGAGTTGTTGTTTGCGTCTCGGAAGACGTCTTCTGGCAGCCGCCAGCAGCCAGTTCCACAAGCAACTGCAAGGACAGCTGGCTTCTCGTCGCTCGATGCATGGATGTGGTTTCAGCTTAGGCCTTGGAGTCTTCTCGAATATGTAGCACCAGGTCACGGCTCAGCAATGTACATGCTGGCACCTTCAAGACTTCACTGTGGAATCCGAGCCGCAGAGGAGCGCTGTGCTGCAGCATGCCCCGTTCATGTGCCGTGATGGCAGCTCACCTTTCTGCATCTCAAGTACGGGATGACGATGATTGTCAAAGAATGTTGTTCCGTAAGTTACATCATTGTTATTGTATGTTATTGTAATGTTGCTATCACCATCGTTGTTATTATTGAGACTCCTAAACCCGACTATGATTTGCTGGCTGCAGAACCCGAGCCGCGAGCAATTTGCGGTCGAACTGTTGATTTCCCAAGCTGCTAAGTTCTAATCTAAGCCTGTGGTGTGCACTTCATCCCTTCAAAGGGGTTTGTACCTTGAACTATCAAAACGTATTTTGGGTAGGTTCCCAAAATTCTGTAGTGGGGTTTACAGTAAGAACCTACAACAAGTAGGCTTTGGCAGTTTAAGGCAGGCATTAGGATTGCAGGTTGGGAAACTCTCCCAGCCAGTCGGCCAGTATCAATTTACACATCTGTTGTTTCACATCCTGCTGCCTGAGCTCATTGTTTAAACCGAGCACAGTCACAGATCAGTGTTTAAGATGGTCCTACATTTGCCTTAAACCTCAATGCCTTCGTTGATCCACGCAGTTTCGTGGTGTTGCCGTGCCTACCCATATTAGTTCGGGGCCATGCTAACAGACCTGCCATGTCAGCGATTGCGTTGAGGTTTCAACTGTCGCTTTCGATTGATGACAACCTCAGTCATGAGGTTTCTTTGATGCGGTCGTTTCAACTGCACAAGATGCTCAAAGCATCAAGCGCAGAGGTTACGCGGTCCGTGCAGCAACATGGTCGGACCCTGGAGCTTAAGGATGTCTTCTCACAATATCGACGGTGCTGCCAGAATAATGAACTCTATGACTCGGGCGTGTTTGCTTTGCATTGGAACGTCTGTCATGTTGCTGCCAGTCTGTAGTCTGTAGAATCTCGAAACGTCTCTCTGTCTCTGGGCTGCAAAGGCTCTGTACGATCCATGAGCCAGCGCCGGAGTTAGGGCTCCAACTACATGCATCATGACAAGAGGAAAGTGTCTGGCTCTCAATCTGTAATCTGCTTGAGTCCAAAATACCCTAAGCCCAAGAACCTAAGCTCCAAACCCTTCACAAAAACCCTACACCCTAAGCTCTAGATTCGAAACCCTAAGCTCTCAACCCTAACCCTAAGCTTTAGACCCTAAACCCTAAGCTCAAACCCTAAACCTTAAGCTCTAAACCCTATACCCTGAGCTCTAGACCCTAAACCCTAAGCCCAAAGCCCTGAGCTCTAAACTCTAAACCCTACTGTAAGCTCTAAACCCTAAGCTTCGCAGGCCCACCTAAACAGCTAAACCTGACGGCTCAAATAAGTTTGGGCGGAATTTCTGCACAACCATCGAACCGTCGAATCGAGCCCGACTACTGCTACGCCAACGGAGCAAGTACAGACTGGTAGGTTGGGCACCGTAACCTTGAAGCAACAAGAGCTATCATCCCAATATCCGAAGCTGTCAACTCCAATCTCTCCCAAACCCCTAAAGCCTCCATGCTAGAGTCACTAGAGCCCAAAATTCTGAAAGAGCCCAGCCGTAAGCCTACATCAGCAGGATGAAAGTTTTGTCGCACTAAGATGTCTTTGCTTGGCGGAGGACTCGGAGTACGAAGAAGTGCATTTTACCTGGCCTGGCTAGCGGAGGAATTTCCATGCCAAAATAAACATACACTGTTTTTTTGTTCCGACGGAGGAATTAGTGACGTCCTTGCCTGACATCGCGACTTCGTGAAGGAGTCTATGGGGGAAAGGGGATTGCAAGTATGTGTTAGCAGACCTACCGGATGCGACGAACTTTCGTCCTGGCGCAGCATGAATTCCAAGACCGCTAGTTCGGCCAGGCCAGGCCAGCATGTGTCACACGGAGGAGGTTTTTTGGACGGGTGCCTACTCGTTTTTAGTCGCGGGTGAGCAGCATGAATTCCAAGACCGCTAGTTTGGCCAGGCCAGCATGTGTCACACGGAGGAGGTTTTTTGGACGGGTGCCTACTCGTTTTTAGTCGCGGGTGAGCAGCATGAATTCCAAGACCGCTAGTTCGGCCAGCATGTGTCACACGGAGGAGGTTTTTGGGACGGGGCATGAATTCCAAGACCGCTAGTTCGGCCAGGCCAGCATGTGTCACACGGAGGAGGTTTTTTGGACGGGTGCCTACTCGTTTTTAGTCGCGGGTGAGCAGCATGAATTCCAAGACCGCTAGTTCGGCCAGGCCAGGCCAGCATGTGTCACACGGAGGAGGTTTTTGGACGGGTGCCTACTCGCTTTTAGTCGCGGGTGAGCATCAGCAGGATGAAAGTTTTGTCGCACTAAGATGTCTTTGCTTGGCGGAGGACTCGGAGTACGAAGAAGTGCATTTTACCTGGCCTGGCTAGCGGAGGAATTTCCATGCCAAAATAAACATACACTGTTTTTTTGTTCCGACGGAGGAATTAGTGACGTCCTTGCCTGACATCGCGACTTCGTGAAGGAGTCTATGGGGGAAAGGGGATTGCAAGTATGTGTTAGCAGACCTACCGGATGCGACGAACTTTCGTCCTGGCGCAGTAATCTCGACACCCAAACAGCCCCCTAAACCCTACCTTAACCTCCCAGAACCTATACTTTTTTGTAGGGTCCCTATATTTGCCATATTAGGGCTTATAATAAGAACCTACAAAAATGTAGGGTTCGGTAGTTTAAGGTAAACCCATAAAGAGCACCCCCCCTCCCAGGCCTCAGCTCCGCGCCTTCCGCAATGGTGAACTCGACCTTCAGGCCCTCTTCCGGGCTTCGCGGGGGAACCCTAAACCCTAATCCCTAATCCCTAAACCCCTAAACCCTAATCCCTAAACCCCTAAACTCTAAACCCTAATCCCTAAACCCTCAACCCTAATCCCTCAACCCTAATCCCTAAACCCTAAAGGTGGTTTGGGGTGTATCTTCGGCTCCAACATAACTTATTGTTTCATCATAATCAAGAGGTTATGTCCTACTATTTTGGGTTGGGGGGGGGTTACATGTGGGATTTATGCGATTTTGTGAGGGTCTTCGCGGCTAGTATCGTTCAGTGAGATTTGTAAGGGTTGTTGCCGGGGTCCTATCAGGCCTAAATATCATATGGGTTCTACAAGGGCTATTCCGGGCGTTTCTGTATGAGCTTTATCTTACATTGTACGGTTAGGGTTTTGGGCGTGAGGGTTTAGGTTTTGGTTTTGTTGGCATTCTGAGAACACGATAGGGGTGAATATTTATAGTGGTTGTACGGTGTAGGTCAGTTTAATTTAGGTGTCGGGGTGTAGCGTTTGTGTGTGCTATAAGTTTACTGTGTTTACCATGGGGATTCTAAACGAGCTTCAAGACTTGGGGTGCAGCGGTTGGGGCTTTAAGGTTTCCTAACGTTTAGGGTCAGGCATTAAGTCTCAGAGTTCAGACTTTGAGGGCTCAGGGTTAGGCTTTCAGGCAAGGTTTAAGACTTCTGGCTTCCGGCCTAGGTTTCTTGACGAGGCGTAAAGCTTAACTGTGTAAGGTTGAAGATGCATACGACACTTCCGCAATTTTCCTCAGCCGTCATGCTAACTTCACTGGGGGTTCACGTTCATGATACTTGTGTGTTTGCGCGGGTGTGTGTGTGTGTGTATGTGTCCCTGTGCGTGCTTGCCTCTGTGTTTGTTTGTTTGTTTGTTTGTGTGTGTGTGTGCGCCCGTCTTTTCTGGCTGTATTCCTCTTGCTCTTTCTATCTCTAAGTCTGTGTCTTTCTTTGGAAGGTTTTTTAGTGGGTAAGCAAAAGGGTAGGTCAGCAAGCAAGCGAACATAT